CCATCACCTTCTCCGCTCCTCCTCCTCCCCATCCTCTCCTCCTCCTCCTCCTCCTTCCCCTACTCCATCACCTCCCCTCTTCCTCCTCCTCCGCTTCCTGCCCCCTACTCCTTCTTCATGACCGTCTTCATTCGATCTCCATCACCTTCTCCGCTCCTCCTCCTCCCCATCCTCTCCTCCTCCTCCTCCTCCTTCCCCTACTCCATCACCTCCCCTCTTCCTCCTCCTCCGCTTCCTGCCCCCTACTCCTTCTTCATGACCGTCTTTATTCAATCTTTATCACCTTCTCCGCTCCTCCTCCTCCCCATCCTCTCCTCCTCCTCCTCCTCCTTCTCCTCCTCCATCCCCTCCCCTCTTCCTCCTCCTCCGCTTCCTGCCCCCTACTCCTTCTTCATGACCGTCTTTATTCAATCTTTATCACCTTCTCCGCTCCTCCTCCTCCCCCATACTCCATTACCTTCACCCTTCCTCCTCCTCCTCCTCCCCTTGCCCCCTACTCCTTCATGACCGTCTTCATTCGATCTTCATCACCTTCTCCGCTCCTCCTCCTCTCCCTCCCCTCCTCCTCCCCTCCTCCCCCTACTCCATCACCTTCTCTTCTCCTCCTCTTCCATGACCGTCTTCATTCGATCTCTATCTCAGGGGCAGTTTCCGTTTATGTTAATTATGTTATGTTATACGTACCTCGGGTACATATCTGTAGTACCTGATACGACAACAACCCCTTCAGCTGCCGCCATTGCTCCCGCTGCACACTGACACAAATATATAGCAGGTAGGAAAGCGTGCTGCTAAAATTTGCTCGACGCTCGCTTGATTTCACACGAATACAACACAAATATTCAACCATTCTACTCCATCTTTGTTTCTATTTCAAGTGTTTACTTGTTATAAAAACACTGTCTGTGTTCAAAACCGAGCTGTGTCACACAAAATCACAAAGCCTGACGAAATTCTCGCGTTCTTTCCCGTTGCGCAGTTTATGTAAATGGCTGTCGGAATCAGGAAACACCCACCGGCGCTCTTTGTGACCTCATTTTTGCGCCGCAACGTTTTTGTAACGCTCCACTGGCGGCTTTGACGGGGCTCGTACGGGAGTTTGAAAGCAGCGTGGTAGTTTCTCAAAATGCAGTGCGCCACCTATAGCCCTGTACTTGCAGCCATTTACATAAACTGCGCAACGGAAGAGAACGCGAAAATTTCGTCAGGCTTTCTGTGATTTTGCGTGACACAGCTCGGTTACGAACAATAACGTACTTGCTTATTATTTTATTATCATAATTTTATTATAATTAAATATAATACTATTGTATTTAAATAATTAAAAAATTGTCAACAAGCAATGCATAAGTAACTTGTTAAATACAATTTATCAGTCGAATAGTGTTAAGCGGACTTATACTACAATGGCGGATTGTGGTAACACTGGCTGTACTCTCGGTAATTGTTTGTTATTGGATTACAATTATACTACTTTCTGTCTTTGTACTACTAGTCTATGCCTAGGTTGTTGCACCTTCACATTCCACGTACGCGACATTTCCTGCAGAAAGGGAAGGGCCTTCATGGACAGTAAATTAGTTGTGTAGCTTAAACAGTGTAACTCCGATTTCAATTGTCACTCACTGTGCTGCATTTGATTTGGTTAGTGACGGGTACAGCCACAGCTAGTGAGCCGCAGGCACAGGCACTTGGAGCATTTCAATAAAATATAATGCTAAATAAATACGAAATCTATTTACTACTAAAGTCTTAATGTTTCTATACTACTCTCTTTCACCTATTATTATTGCCGACAATTTCCTGTAAATGCCGTCCAAAGGCTCATCTACAACAAACACTGGGAGAGGAGGAGGGGAGAAGGTGATGGAGTAGGGGGAGGAGGAGGAGCGGAGAAGGTGATAGGGCCCAAGGATAGAGAACATGGGTCCCAATAAAACCAATGTGCCTAAACCTAACCCTAACCCTAATTCTAACCCTAACTCTAACCCTAATCCTAACCCTAACCATAACCCTAACCTATTATATTGATGTAATATTATATTTATATTGATGTAAATTACATTGGTTTTATGGGGACCCATGTTCTCTATCCTTGAACCGGTGATAGAGATCGAATGAAGACGGTCATGGAGGAGGAGTAGGGGGCAGGAGGAGAAGGTGATGGGTAGGGTCAGGATGAGGGGAGAAGGTGATGGAGTAGGGGGAGGAGGAGGGGAGAAGGTGATGGAGGAGGAGGAGGAGGAGGGGAGAAGGTGATGGAGTAGAGGCAAGAGGAGGGGAGAAGGCGATGGAGTATGGGGCAGGAGGAGGAGCGGAGAAGGTGATGGAGATCGAATAAAGGTCATGGAGGAAGAGTAGGGGGAGGAGGAGGAAGAGAGGAGGGGGAGGAGGAGGAGCGGAGAAGGTGATGGAGATCGAATAAAGGTCATGGAGAAGGAGGAGGAAGGGAGAAGGTGATGGAGTAGGGGGAGCAGGAGGTGATGGAGTAGGAGGAGGAGCGGAGAAGGTGATGGAGATCAAATGAAGACGGTCATGGATGAGGAGTAGGGGGCAGGAGGAGGAGGAGGGGAGAAGGTGATGGAGTAGGGGCAGCAAAAGGGGAGAAGGTGATGGAGTAGGGTGAGGAGGAGGAGGGGAGAAGGTGATGGAGTAGGGGGAGGAGGAAGAGAGAAGGTGATGGAGTAGGGGGAGGAGGAGGAGGAGCGAAGAAGGTGATGGAGACTGAATGAAGACGGTCATGGAGGAGGAGTAGGGGGCAGGATGGGGAGGAGGGGAGAAGGTGATGGAGTAGGGGGAGGAGAAGGAGGAGGAGGGGAAAAGGTGATGGAGGAGGAGTAGGAGGTAGGATCACCTTCTCACCTCTTGCTCATCTATTACTGTCGCCCTTCCTCCTCCTCCTCCTCCTCCTCCTCCTCCTCCTGCCCCCTACTTCTCCATCACCTTCTTCCCTCCTTCTCCTCACAACACCTTTCCTCCCCCTCCTCCTCCTCCTCCCTCCTGCTTGCTACTCGTCCTCTCCTCCTCCCCCTACTCCAACACCGTCTCCCACCTCTTCCTCGCTCCCTCTTCCTCCACCTACTCCAACACCTCCCCTCCTCCTCCTCCTGCCTCCTACTCCATAATCTCCCCTCCTCTCCTCCTCCTTCCTTCCATCACCTCTCTCCTGCCTCCTCCCACTCCCCGCTACTCTATCACCTTCTCTCCTCCTCCTCCTCCTCCTCCTCCTCCTCCTGCATGACCTTCATTCGATCTCCATCACCTTCTTCGCTTCTCCTCCTCCCCTTCCTCCCCTACTCGCACCTTCTCCCCTCCTCCTCCTCCATGACCGTCTTCATTCGATCTCCATCAGCCTTCTCCGCTCCTCCTCCTCCCCATCCTTCTCCTCCTCCTCCTCCTCCTTCCCCTACTCCCATCACCTTCCCTCTTCCTCCTCCTCCGCTTCCTGCCCCCTACTCCTTCTTCATGAGCCGTCTTTATTCAATCTTTATCAGCGCTGTCTCCGCTCGCTCCTCCTCCCCATAACTCCATTACCTTTCACGACCTTACTCCTCCTCCT